TCATTGTGGTGTCGACATTCCACTTTAATCATCGGCCGAGGCCTATGAAGACCAATCCAACATAATACCTGTCTAACATCATCGCTCGGATTAATATAGTAATTAAACGTAGATGGCGCATCAAGAGGAAATCCTGGTTCAGCCGGTGGAGGAGGAATTCTACGGGATAGCAAAGGCACATGCTGGGCAGGTTTTTCTCGTCACTACGGTTCCTCTACAAATATGGTGGCTGAAACACGTGCGCTTCTCGACGGTCTACGTATGTGAAGGGACCTCGAAGTTAGGAATGTCATAGTAGAAACTGACTCTAAGGTCGTGGTTCAATGGCTTCAAAAAGGCATCTGCTCTTTATGGTGGCTTTGGGAGTTTTGGGATGACGTTTTAGAGCTGATCCGGCTTCTTAATGCCCAAGTCTAGCACGTGTTCCGGGAGGCAAACATGGCGGTTGATCTTCTTGCTAAAAAGGTAGTAATGGTTCTTCTTTTAACCTGTCCTTCGGCGACGAGGCTCCAACACTTAGAGGAATCTTGCATACGGATAGGTGGGAATCACCATATCTTAGAAGTTGAATTGTTTGGTTTTTCATGTCTTTTTGTAATCTTAGCTTTCCTCCACCTCAAGTGAGAGTTTATTATTAATAAAATTTCGTATTAGGAAAAAAAAAAAAACACACATTCTACCATAAAAAAAATAATCCAAGAATCACTAATTAGTGAAAAGACAAGGTTAGTGTGCTTTATGTTTAATTTTGTTTTTTTTTTTTTTTTAATTTCCTTGACTCTTTGAAGGCAATATTGTACATTTATATGTTGCACGCGTACATGATAAAGAAACACCAATTTAGTCTAGTTTACAAGATATAAGTGGTGGTTGATGTGCAGTCAATCATCATGACGGAATCAAAGAAGGCATAAAGATGGAAGCCCACAACGTTTATTTTAAAATAGGCCATAGTGAATCATATGTAACAAATAATGCATCACTCGCTTAACAGCAGTCCAAATCAAATCAGACGAGACATGCATAAAGTTTGAGAAAATTTGTTCACTTTGAAGGGAAGGTTTGGGTGAGTAAGGGAAAGATATTGTAAAACACCAATAGTTTGCCAATATGTATTGGCGTTGACAGGTAGAGAGCAATCAGAAAGTATGTTGTCATGTTTGTGCAGTGGAGGAGATCATGCATATATTTGTGATGCACAAGGAGAAGACCATAAGGTTTGGAAAGAACATCAACAGTGAAAAAAATAATGGAGAGAACCTAAATCTTTTAGTGAGAAACACACACACAAAAAAAAAAAAAAAAGACTGAATGAGGGAAGGTAAGATAGTCAGGTTATTCCTTGTCCCAAATAGGTATTTAATGAAGAATTGATAGAACGGCTGAGATTTCAAAGATATATTATCAATTGGACATTATACACAGTTAAAAAAGATTCCAATTCATGTACGGAACAGGAAGTCGCTTCGACAATGTGACCTTCCCGGATGTGAAATACAAGTGTATGCTTTGCTAGCCAATGAAATTTTGAAAAATCTTCATTTCCCTTTTGGATTTGTTGTCCATCGATGATTTCTTGACATGTTTTGAAGAGAGATCTGTCATTGCAAATCTGTCGAACTTCTTCTATTAGTTTCCCTCTAAGGCATTTAAATGTGATAAAAAACAGTTTAGCAAGATAAAATAGGATTATTTCTTCTTCTGTTCTTCCGATGATTCAAGAAGTTCCTCCAACACACTATCATCCAGATACTCCAGCTCATTTTTCTCTTGCCATGTTGTTGAAGGACCTGAAGTAAGGGAGGATGACAACAATGAAAATGCATCTTGGCCATAAGCCATCGCCACCTCCTCTGCCATATCAAATGTTCCAAGCCACATGCAAGCTTCATGCCTAGTTGGATCGCTACTTACCACTGGTCAAAATTAATGTATCAGAAAATGTAACAAGTGTTTCCACCAGTTGGAAATGAATATTTGTTTCCCCAAAATGAAAATGAATCTTGTACTAACTACAAAGAAATTATGTGTAGTTTATTATTATTATTTTTTTTGGACCTTGCTGTATCAAAATATTGCAAAATTTCTTGTACGAAGTGTAGAACGACCCATTAGTTGAAATCACATTTGTAGAGTCTGAAAACTTTTCCATGGTGTTGAGTCATTGAAACATTTGCTTAAGGTAAGATAATTATCTATAGATCGTGGTATTCAATAAATAGAAAAGCCAGTTAGAGTATAGAAAAGTACATACTCATAGTTTTTTTTCCTTCGTCAAAAGAAAAAAGAAAAGAATAGAAGAAACAGTTTCCATTTATTATTAACAAAACTCAAATAAAAGTTCTATTTAGTAGTAACACTCCTCAAAGCATAAGAAAAATAAATTCAAACAGAAGTTCTACTTAGCAATAAAGCTCCTCAAAGCATACTAAAATAAATTACACCGAATAATGATTCACGCCAAATAATTATTTTCCTAATGAGCAACTTAAATCATATGAACAGATACTATAACACATACCTTGTCTAACATTGTCTTCACCAAAGGGAACTGCATCTTCATCTATGTTTTTGAGATTCTTTTTCTCCTTTGTCATTTTTCCCTCGCGGCTGCCATTTGGAACAGTGTTAAACAATATGAATGTTGCAACTTCTGGCAAGGATCAAAACTTTTTGCCAACCTTTTCATGTATATAATACTGCCAAAATAATAATAATAATAATAATTATAAATAAAAAAATAATCAGTGAGTAGCCTCCCTAATAAAACTTAGCTTCTCTCAAATCAAATTCCACACTTTATTTCGACTAGGCCAAACCCCTCCAGCCTCCACTACTTAGTAGGTTTAGAAAATGACATAGATGTTAACTAATAACTGTATGTTGAAAGTAAATAGTTCAAAAAAAAAAAAAGGGAAGAAACTTAATTAAAAGTTTAAATGCCTAATAGACTGCTGTAATTTTGAGGATATCCGCCACCGGACTTTATTGTATGAGAGAAAATTTTAACCTCTCTCTTCCAAATGAAAAACAGAACTATAACATAAATTTCAACTATAATATGTTGTAAAAGAATTTTGGCTCACATACCTTGTCAGTTATATTGTTGGGCCCTTCACGTTTTCGGACATCACGTGTCCATCCCACTAATCGCTCTTACAACAGCAAACTATACCTTGTGTCCACAGGAAGGCTGCTGGTTTCTTCAGTTACTATAACCACCTCCGATTCTCCTACACGTGCGCGCTTTGCTTTTTTCACCTCATTTTTACCATCATCATTCTCGTTTACGGACAATTGGTAGTTGATCAAAACTTCTGCTTGGATCTGTGTATAAGCTAAGAAGCATCAGAACACTAGCAATAAATAAGAGATCAAAAGCTTATAATGCATCTAAAATCCAAGATACTGGTATGTGTTTCCTAATTAAGAATTAGGGATCAAGACAACATTAGAACACAAAATATGNAACTCATACATACAATATTGAATCAGATAATTTTCTCTTTCCAACATATATTCAAGAAACCCAAAAATTCATGGTTTTTAGTTCACTATAA